ATATATTGATTTAAATAATTTTTGGAATTAAGTTTATTCCGAATTACGAATTCGAAATTGCGTGCTGGCTCGTGAAATCAAAATGGCGTCATTTAGCCAATTGCGTGAAGATCATATTTAATATTAATACATAACGTAATATAAATAACGTTACTATCGAATTACGAATTTCAAATTAACCGCTCGTCTATGGACGCAAAATGGCGTCTTTTAACAAACAACAAACGAATCGAATCTTTTATTAATACATAACCTAATATAAATAACGTTCCGTCCGAGTTACAAATTCGAAATACCCGCTCGTTTACGGAAACAAAATGGCGTTGTTTAACCTACCGAGTGACGGTCGAATTCATTATTAATATGTAATATTATTCGAATTACGGATGCCAAACTGTCCATTGACATAAAATGGCGCCGGTTAGTAGAAGACACACGATCGAATGCCATGACAGAAATTAATCTCTGCGTTTTTCAAATTACGAATTCCAAACTGTCCATTGACACAAAATGGCGCTGTTTAATAGAAGACAGACGATTGAATCCCGTGACAGGAATTGAAATACGCATTTTTCTAATTACGAATTCCAAACTGTCCATTGACACAAAATGGCGCCGTTTAATAGAAGACAGACGATCGAATCCCATGACAGAAATTGAACTACGCGTTTTTCGAATTACGAATTCCAAACTGTCCATTGACACAAAATGGCACCGTTTAGTAAAAGGCAGACAGATCGAATCCCATGACAGAAATTGAAGTTTCGCGTGGACTGGTGGCCCATAGTAAGTTCGTTGACGGCATGAAAAAATAAGTATCGCTCGATTCGGTTCTCGGGAAACACTCATGAAACTTTCATACACTTTTTCGCCGTGTAAATACGTAGCTGGCCGGTGGGGACGGCGCTCACGCGCCTCGTGCCCGGATACATTATTAAAGTATCGAGTGAATCTGCAAATACGCGAGACGCGTCAATATCCCGTTTCATTTTTAATTACTTCCGGCTACGTACGCGCGGCTCGAAATCATTCGAAAGGTAAATGAATTTGTCGGTTGGGCTAATTCGATTATCCCTCCGGACTCGCAACGCGAAACGAGATCGACTCACGGTGAAATGTTGATTGCCAGGCTGTGCAAGAACGATCCTGTTTATTCGCCACCATTTTTTATCCACGAAATTAATATCGTGGCACTTGCAAGCGTTTCCCTCTAGATTCTTGACGCGATAAATATTTGCGAATGCCGAAATAGGAAATACCAGGAAATTCAATATTTAATTCGTATTCGTTTATTTTTCTCCACGTTGCACATTCGAAACTAATCTCTGTTTCGGTATACAGATTAAATTTTGTTTTTTAATACCAGATGAAGATAACCGTAGATACATGCTCATAAGTACAGTGTACTTTCTGTAATTAATTATCCTATAAAACACGCTCTATTTGTATTCCTTCCGCTTTTATAATATAAAAATATTGTTATTTTTCATGATCGATTCCTTTCTATTCTACTCTAAAATTTCATAATTCTATTCTACTCTATTAAAATTTACTCTACCAACACCTAATCCATGTGATTTAAGACAAAAAATCCCCAAAAGTCGATTTTTATAGGGTTACAATTATATTCCTTTAAATCTGTAAACTAATCGATACCTAACCTAAAAATCTCTCGTCTTTTCATTCAAACATTCGTATTTTCGCTAATGACACATTCGATAAAAACGGCCTTAAGCATTTATGACACCCCAACACCTAATCTATGTGATTTAAGACAAAAAAGTCCCAAAAAGTCTATTGTTACAGTGTTACAACGATATTCTTTTAAATCTGTAAACTAATCGATACCTAACCTAAAAATTTCTCGTCCTTTCATTTCATGTATATTAACAAAAAGAGGAAACAAAGGTACAGATACTTTTAGAAAATGGACACCAACTCAATATTTCAGCCATTCATTTCCCATGAATCAAATCGATGAACTCCACGAAAATAAAATATATATTTTATCCCTAAGATAAATAGTTAATGATCATATCCTGTACGAACAGCGTTGATGTTACAATAGTTATTACTAATTATTACAAGATTCCAAATTTACCTAAAAATCGAGATATATGATATACAATTTAAAATTGCATTACAATATTATTGTAACATATTATTTCTTATACCACTAGGGAGATGAGTAACCAAAATGGCAAATATACGTCATCAGGAGACTCCATACCAGTTATATATTGCTTCACTGTCAATATGGAACACAATCATGATTCCAAAATTCATCGTAAAAAGTTCCAAAATCGCTGTTCACCGTGTTCACCCCATTTTTTCCCCGCGCTGTGTCACGAATTCTCATATCGAGCATCTGCCAGGATAATGGCAAGAAAACTGCGGTAAGAATGAGGTATGATCTATGCTCGATCGTCGGCGGGAGAAACACAGACCGCGTAACGATGATGTTCGTGCCGTGTTACGATCGCAATTTCACCGGCCATTAACCCCCGACCCGCAACCCTTTCTGTAATGCATCCTTCGTGATATAGTGGTTTATTAAGGACGGTACGGAAATACGTACAGCCGGCAGAGAAACTTTTAGCCGGAGCAATCTTGTCCGTCGTTATGGATTCCCCGGGAACTTTTCATTTTCCTCGACACTTTTAGCCCGCGGGGCCGTGAATTCGTGGATGAAACCGCAGCCCTCTCGCTTCGAGAATTCCGCGTTGATGGCGTGCGTAACGCGCTGCATATGGGGATGGATGGGACGTACCGGTTGGTGTGGGCAAAATTGCGCAGCAGAGTAGGTTGATTTCGGTAGAATGGAAACCGAGGTGTGTTAAATGCTTAAGGCCGTTTTTATCCAATGTGTCATTAGCGAAAATACGAATGTTTGAATAAGAGGACGAGAGATTTTTAGGTTAGGTATCGATTAGTTTACAGATTTAAAGGAATATAATTGTAACCCTATAAAAATCGACTTTTGGGGATTTTTTGTCTTAAATCACATGGATTAGTCGTTGGTAGGATAAATTTTAATAGAGTAGAATAGAATTATGAAATTTTAGAATAGAATAGAAGGGAATCGATCATAGAATTGTTCAGATTACGTGGAATAAACGATGGCAGCCTGAAATATGAGAAATAACGATACTCCTATATTATAAAAGCGGAAGGAATACAAATAGAGCGTGTTTTATAGTAGACTAAATAAGTATACACTAGAAAACGGAAAATAATACCGTGATTTGATTATGAAAGGCGAAAAATAAAATGGAGTAGAATAAGCACAGCATAGAAAAGAATAATTCTATGGCAAGGATTTAGACACACGAAATGCACGAAGATATTATAAGACGTATTATTCAAGGTAGAATATAATGGAACGCAATACAGTTGGAGAGCAGAACAGGAAAATGGCGGCGTAATTAAATTACGGAGCGATGATGAGAATGAGATATGCGTCGATGTAAAAAGAAATAAGAAAATTGTAAATGTAGAAGAAATTTGGATCGCACTGCTTACACGGATATTGCTAGAACAATTCCCTAGACCAGGAAACACAACAGTTCCATTGAATTTTTAGGGGGAAGAGAACGGAGCATATTTTGAGTTAGAAGAGGAAGAAACAGAGCGTTGAATCGAACGGATTAGGTATCGGTGGAATAGACGAGACTAGGGTAGTACAGAGGCAACGAGAAAGAACAGCTAGGTTTAGCCGTAGAATATATTTTAACGTGGGATAAAAGCGAATAGAGTATTGAATAGTGCGAATTAATTATCGGCAGAGCAAACGAGCGCGGAGTAGAATAGGAAAAATAACAATGCGATTGAATTATGAAATAATAGAGAATACGGTAGGGTGGGTGTGATCGGATAGAATGGATAGAATGGAATGGGATAGAATGGGACGTTAAACAAAGGAATTTGCGATCTACCGTGACTCTTAAAAAGGAAGAGAGGGTTGAGCAACACCGAGTAAACTAATAGGAAAAATAACAATGCGATTGAATTATGAAATGACAGAGAATACGTGTTGGATAGGGTGGGTGTGATCGGATAGAATGGATAGAATGGAATGGGATAGAATGGGACGTTAAACAAAGGAATTTGCGATCTACCGTGACTCTTAAAAAGGAAGAGAGGGTTGAGCAACACCGAGTAAACTAATAGGAAAAATAACAATGCGATTGAATTATGAAATGACAGAGAATACGTGTTGGATAGGGTGGGTGTGATCGGATAGAATGGATAGAATGGAATGGGATAGAATGGGATGTTAAACAAAGGACTTTGCGATCTACCGTGTTTCTCAACACTAGAACTACCGATCTTTAATGGGTACCTAACTATAACGTGCACAGATTATAGTAATTTCAGCGGTACGATAAATATGAGTGAATATATCGATTACAGTTCTTTCTTAATACGAACTGGTACCAATTTTATTCTTAAAGCAGGTGTATGTGTTCGTTGATTGCAAAAAGGAAAATTCTGGGACCAGTCATTTTCACTGGGTTGGTAGTTCTAGTGTTCAAAAGGAAGAGAGAGTTGAGCAACACCGAGTAAAGTAATAGGAAAAATAACAATGCGATTGAATTATGAAATGACAGAGAATACGTGTTGGATAGGGTGAGTGTGATCGGATAGAATGGATAGAATGGGATGTTAAACAAAGGAATTTGCGATCTATCGTGTCTCTTAGAAAGGAAGAGAGGGTTGAGTAACACCGAGTAAACTAAAGAAAGCATATTGTTCGATAAATTGTCTTAAAGCAGCGCCGAGTCTTTTCTGCACTCGAACCCCAAAGGGATTTACACCGACATGGCAATTCTCACAAGTCTTCGCTCTTACCAGAGGATCCTCTCCTTTTCTCGTATTCTTCCTGGGTGCTCTCGGTTATTTTTCCGGCAATGGAATAGGACGCGAAGGAAATAATTAAAGATGGTGATCCATAAATACCTGTCTCTATAAATGATACGTTTTATTGTTTTCTGTTATAGGTAGCCGTCCAATAGCGGTGCTTCCAGGCGTTCACACGTCGACAGAGCCTACGGTAAGAGAGTCAGTTACCTTCGTGACGCAGTCATTTAGAAGAACTGCGTCATCGTTAAATTTGTTATATGACAGCGACGAAATGGACTTCGTCTGTCTTGGCTTGATCACTCTATGTGGATAGTTATGCAGTCGTAGCTAGATCGGGATAGGAACTTGATTTGGTCAAATATGGATTTGGTCAAACGTATTAGGGTCCTAATATTTTTCCTATTATTGCTAGTCGAATACATTTTGCACTTATGGTTAGTGTAAGGGGAGGAGAATAGAGGGCTGGGTTAATATGAGTCTATCACTCGGTGGCCGATTGTGCTTTATTCTGTTTTATGATATTCACACGCCCCGCTCTTTTCTTTTGCATAAAACTTCCGCGGTCCGCTCATCGAGCTGCTCTTTTAAACGTGGGCCTATTTTGTTAATACTTTAAGTGCCCAGCCCGGTTTGCTTGCCTTCCCTTCAGGCCAAGATTCGACCGTCAAGTGGATCACTGGCGGCGGGCTAAGTGTTCGTTAAACTCGGAGATACTGTACCAATTGTTAGAACGGGAATTCCCAAACGTTAGGTCCAAAGATGGCGAAGAATTTAACACCAAAAGCTAGCACCTTTTGGGCCTAGTCTGGGCCGGTCACTGGGGATCGGCCGGGCTCGAACGGAAAGTCTAGCGCCAGTACCTGAGGATGGGCCAGGTCCGAATGGAAAGTTTAGCGCCGGTCCCTGGGGAGCGACCGGGCCCAAACGGAAAATCCAGCACCGGTCACTGGGAATCGGCCGGTCCCGAACGGAAAGACTAGCGCCAGTTTCTGGGGACCGGCCGGACTGAAACGGAAAGTCTAGCGCCGGTCCCTGGGGGCATTAGGCCCCAGGGGGCACTTAACGCGTTAATCTGCCGCGCAGATCAAGCGGATCGCCGCTTCGTTTTGCTCACGTCACTTTATCAGTAACCGAAGCTCGTATACTCTTACATACTCTTACATTAGTTCGAAGCCAAGATATACAAAAATTTTATTTTTCCGAGAAGTTGGTTACCCCTAGCTACCACTGTCCCATTGGGCTACCAAACGTTACCTATCTTCCGACTATGTGTCACCTGTATTTCAGAAAAATTAATCTTTACTTTAAAGGTTTGATTAGCTAAGCCTTCGTATCTTCTACGAACATAAACTAACCTGAAATTTGATCCAAAATTTCGTCCAAAATTTCACAAAAGATGGTACGCAAAATGCTTTTTGTAATTCCATCTGAGTCAAAGAAGAAATCTCGAAGCAGACGTCTATCATATCCATATCGTATGCACAACATGGTCTAAGCAAATTCATAAACTCGCCTAATAAATTGGCCCGGACGGAAGTGGTCGTTAATCAGTCACGAGGGTAACAAGAATCGAGGAATCGGTCTTAACGCTCGCAGCTCGTTCCGCGGTGAACTTATCCGAATAAGGTAGGATACTCGACTGGGAGAAAGGAAATTGCTCGAACAAATTGAAAAGCGTGGACGCCCCCATTAGGCCGAACGAGTCCCGGCTCGATTTTACGGACCGTCGGAATTATACTTTCAAAGTGCTTCACGGGGCACATCGCTGCCTCGCCCCGAACCTCCAATTCCTCCTGTTCGATCGTCGGTCAGCGACACTCAGGATCCATATCCTCGCCACCTTTTTTATGACTGTTTCACGCGACTAAGGCGTAGAAGGTTGTTCTACTTTCGTCGAGAGAAGAAAATGATCTCATAAATATAGCTTTCCTCTTTGGGAAGTGTTAGGGGTTCAAGGCGCCGAGTTGAAGAACATTCTCCGACGTTATTTACAGCGATTTCTCATGGCTAGAACGCATGGTAGATGTTGTAGTAGACTTCAGCCAGTGTTTGGTCACAAGTGTCTATAATTCTGGGTGTTATAATTCTAGCAAAGTCAAAAATTGCGAAGAATATGGTGTCATAAATATAGCTTCCGTTATCAGCAAGGATTAAGTACCAATCTTAGCTGAGGATCTCTATGACAAAGTTAGAGGTTCGAGGGCTGGCTTATGGTCAGAGCTGGAAATTTTCTAACAATATATTTCTAGCGGTTTCTCACTGCTAGAACGCATGGCAGATGTTATAATAGACTTCAGCCAGTGTTTGGTCACAAGTGTCTATAATTCTGGGTGTTATAATTCTAGCAAAGTCAAAAATTGCGAAGAATATGGTGTCATAAATATAGCTTCCGTTATCAGCAAGGATTAAGTACCAATCTTAGCTGAGGATCTCTATGACAAAGTTAGAGGTTCGAGGGCTGGCTTATGGTCAGAGCTGGAAATTTTCTAACAATATATTTCTAGCGGTTTCTCACTGCTAGAACGCATGGCAGATGTTATAATAGACTTCAGCCAGTGTTTGGTCACAAGTGTCTATAATTCTGGGTGTTATAATTCTAGCACAGTCAAAAATTGAGAAGAGCATAGTGTCATAAATATGGCTTCCTATATCAGCAAGGGTTAGACGCGAATCTTAGCTGAGGATCTCTATGATGAAGTTAGAGGTTCGAGGGCTGACTTATGGTCAGAGCTGGAAATTTTCCAGCTATATTTACAGCGATTTCTTATGGTTGCAGTACGAAGTGGATTTTATAAGAGTTCGAGAAGTTAGAAGTTCTACAGGGATGGAAAATCACGAAGAAAATAGTCTTATAGACGTAGCTTTTCTTTCTGTAGAGAGTTGGATATGGATTTTAGCTTAAAGATTCAAGTACCGAGTTACAGTCAGAGTAAAAAATTTTCCAACGCTGTAAATTTTAATAAATTTATAATAGTAATTATATAATAATAACAATAGTAATAATTCTGAAAAATTTATAATAGTAAATTTTGACAATACGTACTTCACACGAGTTTAAAAAATTTTTAATTACAAGTACCTACGGTTATTCTGTATATCATAAAACCACGAAGAAGAAATAAGTATAGTTATAAATGTAGCTTTCCTTTTTAGAAAGAGTTGGTACGAATTTTGAGCGAAAATGTCTATGAAGAAGTTAGATACAAATTTTGAGCGAAGATCTTTAATTTTAAGAAGCAGTTAGATGTTCGAATGCAGACATATCACGTCTGGAGAATGAATAGATCCAGCGAGAGTTGAAAATTTCCTAGAGTCGTGTAGAACAATCTCCTGCAGTTAGAATGCATCTTAGATTTTAATAACTCGTGTTATACACGAGTTGAGGAAGTTCCGAGTCGCGAGTACCCACGATTACCCTGCATGTCAGAAATTCTATTAAGATGGAAAACCACGAACGAAGCTGTCGAAAATCCACTGTGCACGGTTTCATTCCCGTCTATGTTAACTCGACGAAACTTCGACCACCGCTTGGAAACCACCCTGTACATTCCCTATAGCCCCCCGCTTTTCGATGTTCCATCGATACAAGTTTCCCATTAGCCGGCAAGCACGATCTCTTTGTACCTCTCTTTGTACCACGTTCTCTGATAAGATACACGCATTACCGATATTTTTCGCTGGGGCAACGATTTTTGATTAAAACTCGCGAAGCACGAAGAATCGATGGAAGTGGCCAAGGTGTAATCCAGCTTCGCGAAGACACGTCTTTTATTAAATTAGCTCCACTAGAGTTATCGCGATTGGACAACGTGGAAGAAACCTCGATGCACCCCTGTCCTTGCGGCGACAGGGTGTGTTCCCGTGCGTGTGTGGATGTAGCAGGGAAGTTAGCAAACAACCGCGGGTTCAACATCGATTACCACTTTACGCAGCGACTGGACTACGTCGATGATGCTTATTCGTTTGGTACACAAGCTTTGGTTAAACGAGACACGAGTACGGCTCGCGGAAAGTGGATTGGTCAACACGGAAGCAGCGCCTCTTTGTTTTTCGTTCTTCCGATGCCGGCCCGCGTGGCCGTTCGAGGCAGCCGCTTCCGGTTTAGAGGGTGAAAATTAAGCCTCCGGGGGATGGGGCGAGTTTGTGTTTGGACCAGATTGCGTGTCTTTTTAATTCCACGATTGCTTTCGGTGATTATTTAATGGCTGAGATTGGTTAAGGGTAGTTTCAGTATTTCTGGCTTTGATCCGAAGTTAAATATTTTTCTTTATGAATTTTTAGTTATTTAGAAGGTGGAAATTAAGTTTCGAGGAATGGGGTGAGTTTGTGTTCGGACTAGATTGCGTGTCTCTTTAATTCGACGATTGCTTTCGGTGATTATTTAATGGCTGAGATTGGTTAAGGGTAGTTTCAGTATTTCTGGTTTTGATCCGAAGTTAAATATTTTTCTTTATGAATTTTTAGTTATTTAGAAGGTGGAAATTAAGTTTCGAGGAATGGGGTGAGTTTGTGTTCGGACTAGATTGCGTGTCTCTTTAATTCGACGATTGCTTTCGGTGATTATTTAATAGCTGAAATTGGTTAAGGGTAGTTTTGATATTTCTAGTTCTGGTCCGAAGTTAATATCTCTGTTTTTGAATTTTTATTTATTTAGAGGGTGAAAATTAAATTTCGTGGGGTGGGGTGAGTTTGTGTTCGGTCTAGATTGCGTATTTTTTTTAATTCGACGATTGCTTTCGGTGATTATTTAATAGCTATGATTGGTTAAGGGTAGTTTTAGTATTCGTGGTTTTGATCCGAAGTTAAATGTCTCTATTTTCGAATTTTTATTTAATTAGAGGGTGAAAATTAAACTTCGAAGGATGGGGTGAATGCATATTAAAACCAGATTGCGTGTATCATTTCAATTTAATAAAGAATTTTAGTAAAGTTTTAATGATTAGTATCGATTCAGGGTAATTTTACTATTTCTGAGATGAAGTTCATATCAGAAATTATTTAAATGAAATGAAATAAAAATTAACCCTCAGTCAAATCAACGTCTCATCCAGAACCCTTTATTCGCTTATAAAAGCGAAGAAAACTTTAAAAAATATATTTTCCAACACCCCACACCCCGTCACAGTCAAACCAACGTCTCATCCAGAACTCTTGGTTCTCTCATAAAAGAGAAGAAAGCTCGCTTAAAGG